AGAGCTGCCTTTACCACTGTATCAGTTTATTCAGTTACATAAACTGTATACATTTGTTTAAACCCAAGCGGTCCTTTTCAGGGACAACACATTTTCCTAAAAGATAACGAATCTTCTGGATCCCCCCTCACAGCTGCCTACATATTCTTTTTCCTCTCAAGGGTTTTTGACGTCTTTCTTCACGTAAGGATTCCCTTCCACAATTTAGTGAAAGTTCTTTGGCAAATAATAGTTTCCCTCTAGTGCCAAGTATTGGTTTTCATGTGCCTCTTGATCTGCTTGCAACTGTGCATGACACTATAACTTCAATAAAATAAAGGAAATTGTAGATATGATTATACTTCCAATTGTTACTACTTCAGAGGCACAAGATCAACATAAAAAAAACAGACAAAATTAATATTATTATTATTTATTCAACCCAAACAACATAAAGTTACAAAGTGAAATTACATGAGAAAACACAAAAACGTAAACACTCAGGATTAATAAATATTTAGATACCTTTCTGGATTCAAAAATATTGCAGGATTAACTAAATAGAACCACTGAAAACAAAACAAGCGTACAAATGAACACAAATTAAAACATAATAGGCAATCACATAAAGAACTCTAATAACTAACTCATTAATAAGATACAATTAATTAAGAATTAGTAATAATTGATAATCAATCAGACTGAAATGAAAGCACATTAGTAATTACTGGTTAAGATAAAAACAATCCTGAGTGTACGACATTCGTATTTTAATATAGGTTTTCCCGGCTATTTTAAAACATTATTTACACAAATTCACCAACTTTAACATTCAATTTCGTCCGAGAATAATTTCACACGCTTTTAACAAAACCAATTAAGTCATTTACCTTTCAATTTCAAAGTTTGGTCACCCTCTTTGGTCACCGGGTCGAGAATATTCGTCATTACACATCAAATTGGTATTAGCTGTTGCCGAATGGCAGCATTCAGAGATCGAATTCGTCCGATATAAATCAATTAGACGCATTTGAATTCTGAATAACAAGGTCTGGCGTGGACAAGACGAAATCGAAAGTGTGCTCATTGTTTGAACTAAATTTAAAATTGTCTGACAAAAGACGAAATTAAACATTGGAAGTTCACTAAATCGATGTTGACTGACAAATTTGAATATTAGAAACGGTGAATTCGAATGATAAACGTTTTAAAATAGCCGGGAAAACTTATAGACAAATTTGCCATTTTTTAATAAGGTATGAGATTAAGTATAATTAATGTCTTCATTCAAATAAAAAGAAAAACCCAGAAGTTTCCTCTATCTTATCAACTATTGCCATTGATTTTGAATAATCACCAATTTTAACATTTTAAGCGTAGATTGGCTAAAGAATGCCTTGGTCCTGTGGTTACGGTGTTCGAACCCTGCCAGGAACATGGGGTTTGTGTCCTTGGGCAGGACACTTTCCTACAATTGCCTCTCTCCACCCAGGAGTACAAAATCAGTATACTGTGAGGGTAGAAGACCGAATGTGTGCTGATATACTGGCTGCCGGGTGGTCTCGTGGCCTGATGAACGGGGCACTTTGAGATTGTTGATGCGACGGAGAGCACTACATAAGCATTACAATATATCTATATACATGTATGTCCAACTTGAAAAGATGGACAGTTTTAGCAGACTGGATGCAAGGATATGAAAAGAGTTTAATGAAGATACCTATGACAAGATTTGAAACAGACCAGTACCATAGACCTTATGCATTAGGGCGGAGTAAGAGGGCAATGGTTTGGTATTGCTTGGCTAGGCATGAGTCTACCTTTTGTTCGTTTATTGTTACTAGATTAAAATAACCACGAACAGCCTCTGAGATGCCTGTGATACATAAGGTCTATGTGTTGGACTTCAAGCAAAAGTTTGTTTTCTTGTGCTGCATGGTTGCACTATGTTAAGATTTAGGTTTCTCAGTACACGGTATTCGAGAGTGTAAAGTCAAGGTAAACACTAGGCTGGGTTAAGAATACCAATCAGAAATTTGGCAACAGTGTAAGCCTACATATGGGCAACGTGACGTGTCCATGTTCATTCAAAGCTCCTTTTAATATACATCACTGCTAGACTTCAATCTGCAATTGCTAACATTTCTTAGAACAAAATTTAAAGGGAATATACATCATTTGCTTTTGCTGTAATTTTCAGAAATGGATGGAATTGGGGGGTTGGAAATATAAAGCAAATATAGTTTTACTGACTTTTTGGAGGTTTTGGGTTCGAAAATGCTATAAAAACCAAGAAAAACGATCATTTTCCTGTAGTCTGGTTCCCTGACTCCATATACACTGCCAAAAATATTTTCTTACTTAAGAAAACTTTTCTTGAAATTAGAAAAATATTCTAGATTTAAGATAATTTGTAAGAAAAAAGAAAATGGGCAAGAAAATACTTCTTAAAATATTTAATAAAATATACTTGAAGAAATTATATCTTTTTTTAAGATTTTTTTTCTCAAAATTATTCTCATTACAAGAAAATTTTCTAATTTTAAGAAAATTTCTTACATAAGAAATTTGTTTAAGAACTACGAACTGTGTTTTTCTCATATTTGCCATCTATTTTCTTATTTTAAGAAAATATTTCCTGTTAATAAAAACAATTCTTGTCTTCAAAAAATGCTACACTTCAAGAAAATTATTCTTGCCAAGTGTTCTTTGTTGATGCATTGTACAAAAAAATACTTTCTCATTTTAAGAAAACTTTTCTTGAATGAAATTAAAATTGTATGACTTTGGCCAGAACAACAGAGGGCGCTGTTGGGGGAGTGGCCAACTGAAATTTAAAAGTGTATTGTTTCAGCTGTCAGGCCTGAACATTCACTTATCATTTCCATCATTTTTATTCTGCCAGAGGTATGTACAAATTTTAGTTTTATTGTCATGTTTTAACTTAATTATCATAGATTAAGGATGGCTATTTGTATGAACTTTATTGTTGAAGATGTTTAAGGATTGAAAAGATTGAAAGTTGTGTAAGTTTCGGATCGGTGGTTGCAAATGTATGCATACTGTAATACATATTGAACATTGCACACATAACCCACTAAGCATGAGTGAGATAGCAATTCCTTTTCTTTTATAGAAAGTAACATATAAAGTGGCAGTCACTGATATGACAATTGATTTTTAGATGTTCTTATTCCTCCATTTAGAAGTGAATCTGAGTTTGGCGATTAGGCTCTGCCTGAGAAGCAAATCTAAGTTTGGAGAATAATGCTCAAAACTAGGTTTGAAGTTCACCAATAAAAATGTATATTGGCCTAGTTATGACAGTGACAAAATTTTTAAATAAAGTTGTAATGTAAGGTGAAAATACTATTATTGAAATGAGCAAACTATACAGGGTGATTAAAAAAGGTAAGCCTGAAACAAAGGACTTTTATTTGTTAAATATTAACACAATGTCTTCATGGCATCCATTGCTGCTATGATGAATGGATACCTTTGCCTTGAAGTTGTTTTCTTGTAGTAGGAAAACAATTCTCATTAATTTGTACTAAGATTTATGATGTCTTTTCTTTTGGAATCCAAGAAAACCTCAGCAAAAACAAAAAAAACACCCAAGATTACAATTCCAGCTAGGAGTTAATTGTCTTGATTCAAGAAAAGGAAACAAGTTTTCTTGTGTCATTCCTAATCCTAGAAAATGGTAACAAGAAATTTGTCCTTGCAGGTTTTCTTAAAATAAGAAACATAACTGAGAAAAGTTGATTTCAGGTGGATTGAGCAATATAAATTTTCTTGCAGTTTTTCTTAAAATAAGAAACATACTGAGAAAACTTTAGAAAAAAATATTCTTAATTTGACAAAAGTTGAGAAAGAAACAAGAAAAAAAACTAGATTTTTTTTGCAATATGAAGGGGTTATATTCTTGTTTCAAGAAAAGGAAAGAGGTTTTCTTGTGTCACTCCCTAGAAAATTGGAACAAGAAAAATTTTCTTGCAGTTTTTCTTAAAATAAGAAACATAACTGAGAAAAGTTTAGAAAAAAATATTCTTAATTTGACAAAAGTTGAGTAAGAAACAAGAAAAAAAAACTAGATTTTTTTTTGCAATATGAAGGGGTTATATTCTTGATTCAAGAAAAGGAAAGAGGTTTTCTTGTGTCACTCCCTAGAAAATTGTAACAAGAAAAATTTTCTTGCAGTTTTTCTTAAAATAAGAAACATAACTGAGAAAAGTTTAGAATTTTTTTTCTTATTTTGACAAAAGTTAAGAAAATTATTTATCCTAAATCAAGAACACTAGAAAAAAAATCTAATAACAAGTTTCTTAAAACAAGAATTGGCCTTTTAGAAATATTTTCTTGTGTCACTCCCTAGAAAAAAAAACTTGTTTTAACTTTTTTTTTCTCAAAATAAGAAATATATTTTTGGCAGTGTAGGAAGAAACAGAGCAGTTTACATACATTGGGGAATTGTAAGGTCAGGGAACCAGTCTAGCTGGCCCGTACCCGTTCATAGGTTTGTAATCGATTGCAAACAAGTGCAATGGTCAATTGGGGCCTGTATTTGAAAAAAAAGCCAGTTGTTTCCAACGCTGATCGGCCGATCAGCGTTGGAAATTGATACAAAAATACCACTTTTCTTGAAAATGACAGTATACCAGGTGCCATAATTTTACAGGATGCTTTAGACTGTCATTTACCAACATCCTATTAAGGTATTTCGCAAAAACTTGGTAGTTTTATTTTTCGATGTTTGCAAATGTTGTATATTCCCTTTTGTATTCACACTTTCTTAAACGGGGAAAATTGTAAGTATAAAAAACTTCATTTTGAAGATTTACAGTCATTATTTTGTTCAAAGGCATTTTGGCAGGATGTAAGATGTACATAAGTAAAACACTGCTATCGTGTTTAAGTCAAATTACAAACCACATGATGGATTTTCTAAATTGTAACTGCTATACACTTTGAAAAGACTTGTAGAAACTTCAGAAAATTGTATTGTTTTTTAAACTTGTTTGACTTAAAATAAATCACATTTAAAAATTTCACATTTCATCTACAAGCCTTCATTTTGTGCAAGTTCACAATTCTACAATTTAAGTCTACAAAAAATTCTTGATAAACTTTTCTTTTTAACTTATAAAAAAGCAAACAATTGGAAGATCGCAACAATTGGATCTTATGAAAGATCGCAACAATTGGATCTTATGCAAAAATATGTTTCAAAAATCTGAGATGGTGACCATCCGACCCATGGATTGACCCAACTTCTTGTGACCTCAAAAACCTCCTCATGAGCATTTCATGTTTTTTGCACCTGATGACAAACTGAAAGAGATATTTATTAATTTTTTTGTGCCCCATTTACAATAATTTGAATCTTTCCATAGTCATTTGTTTTTGCTAATATCCAAAATTTTTCTAAGAGAAAAATAGTGATGACATCTTTCAACATGGAGCTTTAGCGTTACAGCATGAAATTTAATTTCTGATAATATGACACAGGAAGACCATTTGCCTTTGTTGTTAACATTCGCTGATGTCGGCAGAAAACAGTCAGTCCCACTTGTGCAAAAGCTGCCAACGTTGGTATTAAACATATATAAGCAATTGTTTGCGTATTACCCCTGGTTTTACTGCCTATAGGAAGAACAGCCGGTCAGCCAACTCAATCCGGGGCTCTTTGTGCAGGCTTTGGCCAACAAGGAAAGACAGCTTGTAAGCATAGAGGCAGGGGGCTGGTACACGAATGGTTCCCTGCAAAACAACAGAAGAAACAGACAAGATGAATACGGAGCTGGACCACTGAACTCTATAGTTACTGTACTGTCTTATGACATGTGCATACTGAAGCAGCCATCTGCCATCTTTGTTCCCTCATGACGTGTCTTATGACAATACGTACTGAAGCAGCCGTTCTCTCATGACATGTCTGTGCAAGAGACATGGGATATCTGTGCAAGTGCCACCTCAAAGTAAACTGATCACCTCTATGGCAAATAACTTGCTGTGAAATTTGCAAAAATTGAACGCATTTGACTCCTGCCAAATTTTGCCAAGACTGCTTTGGGTTATGATTGGTTGGCATGGCTGGCAAGTGTGTTAAGCACTCAACTTTCACCACTGTGGCCCGGGTTCGATTCCCAGCTCGGGTCATTATGTGAGTACAATTGGTCATTGATTCTCTCTTCTGCCACGAGGGTTTTTCTTTGGGCTCTTCGGTTTCCCTCCCTCCGCAAAAATTGACACTTTGGATCTCTGGCTGTGCTCCATGGTTAGACATGGGTCGATGGCGGCAGCCTAAGGCACCTTTACATGCCTTTGGCTAGACCACAATGTAGCTACGTCCTTTGCAATTCAGCTCCGATGCTGCAAGTAAGGACGATTAGCCCCCCATATATACAGGATAGTCACAATGCTTTGGAATGCCGTTCATAACTTGCCCCGCTCCTTACCGGCCAATTGAAGTAGAGATGGGTGAGCTTGTAGGTCAGGCTTTGCATGCTGTCTGGTGCCAGACCTGAGTTGTCCCAGATCACATTGTAACTGGTTGGAGTGACCGTACCCTGGCGTACAGACTGACTGACAAGGAAGAAGTCGTACCTGCAGCGTGGACACAAAATGGAGACCGGAGTGATACATACATGTTAAGTCGAAATAAATTATACTGGTTTAGAATTTAAAGTTTCTGATTCCCAGCTCTTCAACACTCCAAAATGTGTTCTACATATGAATCAGCTAGCAAATAACTGCAGTGCAACAAAAGTATTTTGTCTTTGACACGAAAAATTACCAAATCCATCAAAACTGGTAATGAAACTTTTCGTCAGTCCATTTGTTTTTATTCTAGTAAAAACATTGAAACATGCCAGCGGCTCGACCACGTTGTAGCCGAGTCCTTCGCAATTCAGCATCTCAGCTGCCAGTAAAGATAATAAGCCTCCCAAATTATTATATTATTATTATATCCCTACAGACCATGTCACTTGTGAGGTCATACTGAAAGGCACTACAGGCAACCTAAACACTTACCGGTACATGTAAGCATCTTATTTAAGCACTGTCAATATAGTGATATTACTTAATTATTCGATATTATTTTGATATCGATACCGCCGACAGCAATTGTTTTAATCATATCGAAATATTGGATATTGAGGAATCATATCGAAAATGCGTCATATTATCGTCAACATCAATCTCCTGTTGGTGCTTTTACTCTGTGTTGAACGTTTGCTGTATAATGAATTGAAACTTGGCAGCAACTTGTGCTTGTGACTCAAAATAACAAAGAAAACATTCATATTCCAAGAAATATACACACAGTGCAGAATTAAGAGAACAGTTTGCTGAAAGTTGGCATCAGGTGACATAGTCTATAGTTACCGAACAAACTGATGATTTTACGAAGCATTATTATTTTTGGTTAGTTACAGTGTACAAGGATAATAATTTGTTTTCTGTTTGATTTTTTCCAGTGAGTTGTTTAGGCCCCCCACAAAAGTCTCCGGTTTCTGGTATGGAGCTTGCCCAAAAAGTGGTGCAGCGACGTGGCTTTTTTTTTTATCTGTTTTTTTTTGCTTCAAATGTCGGCTGATGACTGCAAATGGTGCCTGACTAAACTTAGTGCAAATACATGGGAGTCCAGAGAGGCCACATAAAGCTTATTCTCGATCATAACCCCATCTAAAATTGTGCAGCAGCAGGAGTCCAGTCAAACCAGTGAGTTTTGCGGTTTTTAGACATCATCTTTCATTGAATTTTTTTTTTTTTTTCTATTTTGGAGATGCGCATGGCTACGATGACGCGCGCGCATACCAGAAACCGGAGACTTTTTTTTTGGCCTTACTTACAAGTCTGGTTTGGTGACCCCTGAGTCGATCACCGTTCCTGGGGATGGGTTGACAAGATTTCCTTGGTTCAAGGAGCAAAATCTATTGTTGATTCACTTCTTAACGACGATGACCACAGCACACTTAGGGCTGAACACAAACAATCAAAGACACCATTTATTGGCACAGTCTTGTCTATCATTACATGAGACACTAATTAACAAAACTTCTATGACAAAAAGCAAAATGTGAAAGATTCAAAACGCGAATATAATATGAGGCAACAACACGGATAAACCTTGTCACATATTTTGTGGTGCTGCTAAGTATACATTTTGTGCAGCAAGTTAGCATTCTTATAAAAAAAATCAGCTGAGAACCTCACACCAAGTGACATTTTTATTGGTTATTCCTATATTTTTTTACAATAAGCCAACTTGTTCTCTGCACTCAAGGAAACGTCTGTCCTTTGCAGCTCTGAACATGGCTACAGGGCCCAGTTTAACAGAATTTACAAAGCACAAATTTACTTAGCAAACAAATAGTTGACTAGTACTAGACTGTTACCAGCTTAAAATGTCATATCATGTAGAATCGTAAATTGATGCAAATATAATAGTCTGAGAGCCCAGAGAGGTTTAATTAGAATATCAGGCACAAAAGGTTTGATGGTGGCAGCGAGTTTGTTTCTGCACTCAATAGGGGACGATGAACAGTGGCGTCACCAGACTTTTCAGTCTGGGGGGGCACAGGGGGGGCACCAGCATTTGATGGGGGGCACTTAGGTGGATACGGATCGCCGTCCTGGGGGAGGGGTCTAAGGGGAGGGGGTGCCCCTCCCCTTTGGAAAATTTTCGCATACGGAGGATGGGCTAGATGCAAAATGGTGCCACATTTGATGCTAAATTCGATCTGAAGATATCTCCAGAAATTGCTATTTAACCAACTCAGATGATGGGAGTTGAATATAACAAAATATATATATATTTTTTTACCAACCCAAATCTCAGATGGGGGGGCGACGCCACTGACGATGAACAATAGAGGACAATAGGGTCCCCAATTCCCGAGAGGTTCCCTATTTGGATTCGGGTACAAAACATATGGGAGGTCGTCCTAAAAAATTAGGACAAACAAAAGAGGGACAATATAGGTCCCCGGTTGCAGGCATATACACACTTGTGTGCGTGTACAAACACTGCCTTGTGGGGTACCGGAACAATGGGAGGTACCCCACAAGGAATGCCCACCGATTTGCGGGGTACCGTTTTGGTACCCCACAAGTTTTTCAAGAAATAGATATCTGGATTTTACTCAAAAACTAGGAATTTCCAAGGTGGGTTGATCTGTCGCAAATGGAAGAGTTTTAGAAAAGGGATATTAAGTCCGAATTTCAGCCCAGGAAATTAATTCAGGTTAAAATAAGGGTATTTTGAAATTAGTATGCGATGTTGCAAAATTTTAGCACACGAGAACAAAGGAAGTACCCCACTTCTATGCCTATGTAAGCGTGTGTGAGTAGGTGTGGGTTTCGATCTGACCTTCAACCATTATTCTGAAGTGTCACATTCCGTGCAACCTCAGAGATTTAAATTTTGGGGTTGGGTTTCTTGTACCTGGGTACCCATGTTTTTTCAGTCGGGTACCTGATTCCCAAAATAGCATACCCTACTTTTCAGCCACAGTTCACGTTCATAGTAGATTGTGTCATACCTTTGATGACATCAAAGCTACATCAAGCTCCTGGTGCCTTCCGCCGTCATAGTTTAGGCTGCTGTGGCTTAGCTTCACGAGATCTCTCCATAAGCCCAGCCCAATACTTCTCCACCTAAGATACAATCAAATGGATAGACAATGTACAACTGATGTCAGCATGGTTTTAATGAAATCGCTGTGGTAAGAGGGGAGGTACGGTACTTTTTGACCTGTGCACCAACTTTGATAGAGAGTGTTTCCAAAATGCCATATCCGTTTGAAAAATGTGAAAAAACTGCACGGTTATGACAAATTTATACACGTATATATACAGCCCTAATTTGTAAACTACGTTTTCATGTATTCTTAATTAACCCTCCTGCTATCTGAACAGTCACAGACAGTCAAAAACTAAATCCTCTTCCCCTGCCAAGCCTTTTACACAGTCAGATCATCATAATTTCAAGCAAGCACAGTGACTAGTCATAATTACAGTCAACAGACAAAAGACAAGCGGTAGGCACAGCTGGCTCATTGTTTTCCAAGTCAAGTCAAGTCCCAAGTCAAATTTAAGCAAGTCAAGTCAAGTCTCAAGTCAAATGTTTTCCACTCAAGTCCCCGAGTCAATTTTTCACAAGTCAAGTCAAGACCCAAGTCAATTTTTTTCAAGTCAAGTCAAGTCTCGAGTCAATTCTGTTTAAATATTAGATGCACATACTACGTGCAGGAACCAGTTTATGTGCTCGACGATGGAGCCAGAGTAGAGATGGGAATGGGGTTTATCAAAGCGTGCATCATGTAAGGAGATAAAAAAAAAAAAAAATATCATACTTTTCAAACATCCTCTCTCAAGCACCTTATTTTTATCTAAAGAGTGTAAAAACGCATTTTGATATAATATATCCAAACTTGTTCCATCATGTTGAATGTTTGAAGGACGTCTGACAAAATGTCCTTCTGAACGTTTTCGTTTAAAGGGAAGATACAACATTTGCAAACATCACAAAACGAAATGATCAAATTTTCACAAAATACCTTACTGGATTGTTAGGGAATAACAGTCCTGTAAAATTGTGGCTCCTAGTGTGCTGACATTTTCAAGAAAAATTGTATTTTTCCAATGCTGGTCGGCCGACCAGGCTGCGTTGGAAAAAACTGCATTTTTTTCAAAAACCGTTCCTAATTTTTCCTAATTAGTTATTCCGCATTTTCTTTGCAAACCTGCGATGGGGTACAAGCCTGCTAGACTGATTCTCTGACCTTACAATTCCCCGAAGTCAAAACTTGCTCCGTTTCATCTTTAGTGGGGACAGGGAACCAGACTACAATAACATGATTGGTTTTCTTGGTTTTTCCAGCATCTACAAGCCCAAAACGTGAAACAAGTCATTTTAACAATATATGCTATAACATACTTAAATCCTCCAAATCCATTTTTTTCTGAAAATTGCAGCAAAAGCAAATGTTGTACATTCCTTTAACGCATGATGTGAATTCTTGTTGCTTTATGGCGAATTGGGGGTAGCAGCCATTTTCTTGTCATTTAAACCCTAGTTGCATTTAGCACGCTTACGGTAAACCACTTTACGTGTACGTGTAGCATATAGTCTCTAAGGAATGACCGCTCTATAACAATGGATGGTGCTCAGACTACGCACGGCACAAACTTCACCTCGCATGCATGAGGTGGAGTATGATACGTTGTCCATAACACACGCATAGTGCTAGTCATGTACATGAGGTGTGGCAGGCTCAGGATGCCTAGCTATCGCATGCTGGTTGCTAATTCGCCATGTATATCTGCATTCTTTTCAACCGACTATGCTAATGTGCATGAACACCCAGAGTTTTGTGTTTTTCTGTAACTTGAAGAAATGTGTTAATGTCAGCAAGTCATATTTTTTTTCAAGTCAAGTCAAGTCTCAAGTCATTTTTGCCCAAGTCAAGTCAAGTCAAGTCTCAAGTCAAAAAAATAGCATCTCGAGTCCCACTCGAGTCCGAGTCAGCGACTCGAGTCAACAACTCTGTCAATCACCTTCAGTCAAGGCACAGCTGTATCAAGTTACATAAACAGTCTCAGCCAGTCAATCCTGCTTTATGTATTCTGGGAATTTTTAACCCTTGAAAACAGTCACTTGATCGATTTTGAGTGAAAGGACAACTTGGCACAGAATGTATGTGGAGGGTTAATAAGCAATCACAACTGGCTTTGGGTAGCCAGGAGAGGGCGGGATTCCAAAAGGAGATGAAAAAGCATTTGCAGCGTTTTTGGAAAAAAAGTTTCATATACGTTTGACATCCTGAATGAAGAAAAATGTCTTTAATTGCAAAAAAGTATCGCCCAGGAAAGTACATGTATAAAGTGACTATTTTAAGCACATTAAAAACAGCTCTATTTTTTTTTGGGGGGGGGGGTTTCCTCTTCTGTCCCGAACTTTTGTGTGAATTGATGGATTTTGTAAAAGGTAAAAAAAAATAATTGCAGGGCTTGAACCAAAAAGGCTAAACCCGACCTGTACCTGTTTCTGAGTGACCTCTGGCTCCCAGAAGGTGCAGAAGACAACATTGGAATGATCCACTGAGCTGGGATTCTATGCGCTGTCTGGCCTTCTCCTCTGGTAGACGATCCCTGTCTAGAATACGCTTCAAGGCCTGGCAAAAAAAAAATTGAAAGAAGATGAAAAAGAATAAACTACAAGGACCATGTCACCAAAGTAAAAATGCAGAAACAAATCTTACTCTAGTTATAATTTACACATGTTGAGAAGCTGAGTATCACATAATGAGAATGGAGTGTAATTTCAGAGTGACTGAGAAGTGCACATGACTGTTTTCATTGTAGTGAATGATTCATGTGCATTTTTAACAATTTTGCACTAAATGTGGGCTAGTCCAATAATAACACTGTGTACAAAGATGCTCAAAGGGGCGTGGTCTTGTCATAATGAATGAGGTGTGACCTATCTCATCCTTATGAATAATGCATGACCACAACTTATAGTAGAGCTAATCCACCTAAGCTTCACTCATCAATGGAAGGCGTGATTGTCCTCATCCTTGCGAATTATGTATGACCACAGCTCATATAGCAGAACCCAGCCCATCCATCTTCAATCTCCTAATTGGGGATGTGACTCACCTCATCCTTATGAATAATGCATGACCAGACCTCATGGCAGAATCCATCCCAGCCGGCCTCAATCACCCAATGGGAGGCGTGACTCACCTCATCCTTATGAATAATGCATGACCACACCTCATGCCATAACCCATCCCAGCCAGCTTCAATCTCCCAATGAGAGGCATGACTCACCTCAACCTCATGAATAATGCATGACCACACCTCATGCCATAACCCATCCCACCCAGCTTCAATCTCCCAATGAGAGGCATGACTCACCTCAACCTCATGAATAATGCATGACCACACCTCATGGCAGAAGCCATCCCACCCCGCTTCAATCAGCATGGCTGCATCCAGCACACACACCAGGCATCCTCCATCACCCATGGTTCTGTCAGAAGAACAGTTGTTTTAACTTGACCCTTTGAACAGTATGCTCTGTTTGTCATCAATCTCCTGTTGACAAACAGTGCACACTATTTGAAACATCGAGTTAAACCAACTGGTTCTTAAGTAAGATTTGAGGCTTTGTATGGTGGAGATACTAATGAATGAAAGGTTTGGGGAAACACCATGTGGGAATACTTTTTTCAAACTTTCAAACCAACTGGTTCTTCTCAGAACCACACAACTTTACAAAGAGATATCATTCACATGGTGTTACCGCAAACCTCCCATTCATTGTTCATGTCCACCATGCAAACCTTCAAATCTCATTTTCAACCCAACGACGAAAAGAATATGTTTTCCGCTCTGTGAATTTTGTCCACTCAGCTTTACTAGGCTTGCCTTATCTTGTTGAAAAATACTTTGGAGTTTTTTCCAGCACCCACCTTGTCCCAACTCAGTCAGCACTCTCCTGAATCCCTGCGTGTCTGGTAGGTAGGCCTTGTGGCCCAGCTTATCACAGTCAATCACTGCAGCACCGAGCCCCTCCAGCCGTCTACATACTGAAGACTTCCCGCTGGCTATGCCGCCGGTCAGACCAATCACGTATGGGGTGCCAGGTAGATCTTTATTCTAAGGGGAAATTTTGAAACTATAAAAGGTAAAATCCAACCTATCTAAGCACTTAAATCGAAAGGAAAACCGAACTCCATGCAGATACTTACTCTAATTGTTCCCCACAAAGAATTGTTTTCCAAATGCTCACTTCAACCTTTGGAGGAATGAAGACAACCACTTTGTGTTTCATCTTCCTTGTTACAATACTAGAAACACCACATTCCATTTTTTCAACATTTCAATATTTTTTTGTAAATAAAATGTCTTTTAAATAAAGAATACTTGCATCCTCTTCACAATCCAGTGGTTTGAGAAGCACATTTAATTGCAGTTTTAAGGTAATGGACACCATTAAGGCCAAAAAGAAAAAATAAGTCGGTCTCTGGTCAGCGCGCGTGTTGATTTTAATCATGCGCGTCGATCTTTTTTTTTCCCAAAATGTTCCGCGGTGGCTCCAACAGCGCCCTCTATTTCTGCACCTCCTCAATCTTTTTTTACCAAAGAGCACCAAGGAATGGGAAATTGCACCAAGCCAAATGATCGAAAGTACCAAGGCAAATTATGGAGGACACCAATGTACATGAGGACACCAAAAAAGCAAAATAGTACCCCACGTACCTTGTCTGTACAATCCAAGCTTGAAGAAAAAAAAAAAGCCAAAAAAAAAGAAGAAAAAAGTCAGGTGTGTTTACAAACACAAATCCCCTGCAACCGTGACTGTTCCAATGACATAACACCACTCTTTTAACATCAATGTACCTTGGTCACATGGAACGTTCATTGACAGCATTAGTGTCTTCTGTAGGTTTTATATGAATTAATCCCTAATCCCTATAATCTCAGAATATAAATACAAGATTTCTATTGTTTAAGCCACTGTGACCTTGACCCTTGACCTTTCGACCCCCAATGCGATAGGCCTATTTGGATTACCAAGAACGATCCACAAACCAAATTTGAAGTTCACATGTAAAGTATTTCTCAAGTTATCACGCTGACAAAATTTCTTTTGTTTTAGCCACTGTGACCTTGACCCTTGACCTTTTGGCCCTAAATGCAATAGGCTTCTTAGGATTGCCAAAGATATCCACAAGCCAAATTTGTAAAGTATATCTCAAGTTATCACGCTGACAAAATTTCTTTTGTTTAGCCACTGTGACCTTAACCCTTGACCTTTTGGCCCCAAATGCAATAGGTTAGGATTGCTAAGGACAATCCACAAACCAAATTTGAAGTTCATATGTAAAGTATTTCTCAAGTTATCGCGCTGACAAAATTTCTATTGTTTCAGCCACTGTGACCTTGACCCTTGACCTTTCGGCCCCAAATGCAATAGACTTCTTAGGATTACCAAGAACAATCCACAAACCAAATTTGAAGTTCATATGTTAAGTATTTCTCAAGTTATCGCGCTGACAAGATTTGTCGGACACACACACCCACACCCACCCACGTGTGTAAATGCCGGCAATCGTGGACGCCCCATTGTCCCTAATCCTCTTTCCTTTGTTTGTACTCTAACTTTTTAGCGACAGCTCTCATTGGTTTTGTACACGATTTGAGATCGTGGACGTTCGGTCAATCGTGGACGTATTGTTTGAGCCCACATTCTTTTGTCCTACGTCCACGATTGCCGGTGGTTACACACGCCCACCAACACACTAACCCACCCACCCACCCACCCACGGAAGGACAAGGCGGAAACAGTATGCCCCTTCAGCTTCGCCGCGGGGCATAAAAAAAAGCAGCGTCGCCGCGTCAACTTTGGTCTGACCAGAGACCGAACATTTTTATTTTTTTGGCCTAACAATGTGTTTTTGCTGATTCAAAGAACAATACAATAAATCTGAAGCAGGTTATAAAAAAACTAACCTTTGAAACTTCAGCTCGGTAGATATATTTTTGAGAAATCTATCAAAATGCATCGTCACTTTTCTTACCACAAAGCATAGGTTTCCATCGACAGCACGATGGTTTGGAAATGATGCTATTTTTCCTTTACTCAAAAATGGCAGCTTAGTAGCCACAATGACTTCACAGGACACTTGATCCTATATTATTTACTTACAATCAAGTAGGATATTTCATGACATTTTGACAATTTCATTTTTTAATGTTTGCGAATGGTGTCCATCACCTTTAAGTCTCCATACTATTTATTTAGCTCCACCTTTAATTCAATGCTTGGCTACAAAATGTGAATTTTTAAGTAATAAAACATCATTGAATGAGGGAATAAATGTGTGCTCGAGAGGTTTTAATCACTCTGTTTAAGACCGCTTAGAGTCTGGTGGCTGATAATTACCCGAGCCGGAGGTCAAAAAAATCCAATATTTCGGTCAAAAAATCCCGATTTTGTTCAACAAGTTTATTTTATGCTTTTTGAAACATCCCTCTAGCTAAGTAATGGAGTGTTCAGCTGGCAATTAAGATGTAAACAACCCTTTATGGAGATTGACGCACGCGTAGCACGTTCTGTGCGATGTAGCGCAGAACGCACCTGGGGCATTGCGTTTTGAATTTAGAACTATAAAATTCTGACTCACTGGTAGTGTTGCGCATGCCTACGTGAGGACTGTGAACGTTCAACCAATAAAACGGCAAAAGGCACCGGATTTCATGGGAGTCCGCATTTTATGTGACACTGGAAAAGTGTTTAAGACCAGCTAGCCGTGTCTTTATCATCCGTTTAAGACCGGCCAAGTGACGGGCTCTCGACCAATAGGAATGGCTAAACTGTCTGAGGTATTTATGAATGGAAAATAAAATGCACTGCAAAAAGTGGTCTCTTCATGGAAACCTGGCAGAGCAACTGTTTTGTGAATGGCTTCTATTCTGTGGTTAGCATAGCCATACAACAAAACCTTGACACTCCACAGAAAAGGGTTTCACTTTTAGCCTAAACACTCACCGTGAATTGCTTGAGCAGTGTTCCCAGGAGTCGAATCCTTTGTGTTGAGAATCTTATCTTGGCTTCTTCATGTGCAGCATGATCGATGTCCTCTACTAGAGATATCTCATGCACGTCTAGTACACACAGACCCTGAATGCAACATGAATGCAACACTGCATTACTCACCATGGGTTGCTTGAGCAGTGTTGCCAGGAGTCCAATCCTTTGTGTTGAGGAACTTATCTTAGCTTCTTCATGTGCAGCATGATTGATGTCCTCTACTAGAGATATCTCATGCACGTCTAGTACACACAGACCCTGAATGCAACATGAACAAATTGAAAAACAACACTGCAAATCTTCAAATACGCACAATGTAAACATCAAAAAGTCAACAACAAAAAAGGACTTTTTTCCCCTTTGGTAGCATCATTGTTATTTTGTTTGTTGTTTTGGTTGTTTCTTCATCTCTTTTCACGTTTTGTATTGCTTAAATAACATAACTAGAATTCTTCACATTGGATTCAAAATGTAATGTACGTAACATAGAAAAAATGTTGTCTAATTTTGTGGACAATTAACACATCACACTATAACCATTCAAACAGGCATCTCGAAATAGAAGTTTAGGAGGAATAAGCATTGGCAGCACAGAGTTGCAAACAAGAATGAAACCCAACACAAAAAGCACAGCTTGTAGACAATTTATGAAAACAAAAACAAATGCATATACAATGTACATGTACACAGGTCAATAAGCTGCCGTTACTGCCATAACTTAATAATACATTGTACATTATGCATGTCACATCATGAACTTTATACATATGTATCACATCCTGAAACAAGACCCGGCAAGCCTAGTCTGGTCCCAGAGTGCACAAACTTCCATTCAATGGTTTCAGAATGGTCATAATTGACAGCTATAGTCATTTCATGCATCCGGCCTGTACAGGCCAGATGTAGATCATTCATAAAGCCCAGTGCACATGAGAGCTATATATCTGCTTACGACAAAGTTCATTCGTGGCCCGTGGTGTGAGCAGATAGCTCCCGTGTGCAGTCAATTGTATGAAAGATTTGTCATTCGTGGTGCTGCGTTGAATATCCAACATGTTTGATCATTTCTGCCATGCACAGAAAACGTCTTACCGTGTGCTCTGAATGAAAACTTTCTGCTTACGGCAAATATGAGACACTGGGAAGAAAAAAATGTTGAAGGCATAAAGGATCACTGGCGTTTATCTCAAAAGTATACGCTACTGAATTATTATCAAAAATACATGGAGTAAAGATTGTACTGGTACTAAACACCGCGTGAAATTATTCTGTCTGGCTTGCTGCCATTTCGAAGAAATCAAGTTATGTACGTGATATCTAAGAATTATCATTCAATTGACTGCTTTTTTAATAAAGAGGGCTTTGGACGAAATCATGTTTCTAATCAAAAGGTTGTGCATGGTTTTCGACATTTTTTTCAAAAAGTAATATCCACTTCGCTGGAACTGAACAGGTTAGGTTTTGATCATTGTTCGAATTTCTTGGATTTTGAGTGGGGCTATTATTGCAAACGGACAAAATGCATCAAAAGCAAATGATCCTATATCCCTATATACCAGAGTTGCTGACTCGAGTCATGCGACTTGGACTTGAGTCGGACTCGAGTCGCTATTTTTGTGACTTGTGACTTGACTTGTAAATACCAGCTGTGACTTGTGACTTGACTTGGACTTGCAAACAATGACTTGTGACTTGACTTGGGATTGCAAAAAATGACTTGTTACCAACCCAAGTCAGACGCTACTCGAGCGACCCAATACACTTTAATTAAGCTATTATACTTTTAATTAGCTATTCGGTTTACGCCTTACGTGCATTAAAAAACGGACTTCGGCTTGCGCGGTTTCTACTTCGCCCAGCTGCAGCTGTAGATTATATCAGTGAGCTGAGCTGTTACGTTGCGTGCACTTCTGGTTGGTAAATAAGAACAGCCTCCCCAGACTCTTTCCTCTTGCTTTGAGGGTACGTGCTGTCTGTTCCTGCTACTAGCTCCCCATCGAATGTGTATTCAGTCATGGAGGAATAATTATGAGGCCACACAGAGCAAAGTTGAGTGATACTATGCTATCAAATCTTGTTTATTTGAAGTGTAACCGTTTGTACATGAAAAAATAGATTTTTATTTTATTGTTCAAAGTCGCCCAACACAAGGCCCAAAAAGGCCACTCAAGATGTTTCGAAATGCAGTTTATAGATGCAGCGAGAAAGTTTCATTCCAGAAATAGACCTGAATAGTGACTGAATCCAGTAAAATGAATAGTTCCCACTAGTTTCAAAAGTTTTCAATAAGACTGTCACAACAAACTACAGTTTTCAATGACCAAGTCTCTTGCTTAATGTAATGGTCGAACAAACTTTGAAACTGAAAGGAACTTTTCGTGAAAAGAAAGCAGGCCTTTGTCAATTGCATGTAAAATACCGGATAGCCTAACCCATTGGTAGGCGTTTAGTATACATGAAATTGAACAATAAAGTGTTAGTATACTACATGTAATCGAGTGAGTGAAGTCTTTTTTCATGTTATCTCAACATTTATTTTTACCATGTAAAGTAAATTTACTTAAGTATACAAAGGGCTAATATCCGACAGATATGTGATAAACTACAAGAATAGTAATTGCAACACATTGAAAAAGGGGAATAAGGAGGCATGTTCAAAATAACTTGTACGTTGACGCCAGGTTCTTTTAGCTTATTACAGCTGGACAAAATAATGTGCAACTTGACGTGTTCTTGGACAAAGATACTTGTGACTTGACTTGTGTTGAGACCAAATGACTTGTGACTTGACTTGTGACTGGACCTAATGACTTGTGACTTGACTTGTGACTGGACCTCATGACTTGTGACTTGACTTGGACTTGCAAACAATGATTTGTGACTTGACTTGGACTTGCAAAAAATGACTTGCTGCCACCTCTGCTATACACACATACAAGCTGGCGCATACCTTTTCCTGTCTGACCCTATTGACAGCATCTCCACCTTTCTTGGTCTCCTCACTGACCACAATCCACCTCATGTCTGGATCCACCACGCTGGGGCCGTAAGGATCCGTGATGGGCACGATGGAGTCTGACTGTAAGATGCGTGGTTTGATATCGTGGATGAAGTCACGGACAGATGCGATGCACGCATCGATGGCTGGATCAACTCTGGTAGTGATTTCCTGCAATCAGATGAGGGGGATATATTCAGGTGTTGTATTAATATAAAATACTGAACACTTTATACATTTATGACCTACTCTCAGCCAAATGAAGTGAAAGAAAGTAATAAAGGTTGTTTTATACTTGATTCATAAACATGGGCGTCGCCAGGATTTTTAGAGGGGGGCAAAACATATTTTTCCCAAAAATTCCTGTATTTCTCAACATACTCTCGATTTCTCAGTTTTAGAGGGGGGCAGGGACATTTTGTCCCCCCCCCCAACTAATTAAATTTACACTACGACTTCGCACCTCTTTTTCTTTTTCTTTTTTTCTCTTTTTTTTTTTTGGCTTTTCGGGGGGGGGGGGGCAAGTGCCTCTCCTTGCCCCCCCCCCCCGACGCCCATGTTCATAAATACCTAAGACCGTTTACGCATTCCTATTGGTCGAGAGCCCGTCACGTGGCCAGTCTTAAACGGATGATAAAGACATGGCTAGCTGGTCTTAAACACTTTTCCAGTGTCACATGAAATTTGGACTCCCATGAAATCCGGTGCTTTTTACATTTCATTGGTTGAACATTCAAATTCCCCATGTATGCATGCGCAATACTACCAGTGAATCAGTATTTCATAGTC